TTTGCCCAAGGTTTAAATGTTTCCACTTTCTTGGCTGTTCCGTTGTCAGATTAATAACCTTGGTTTCCACCTGCCCGGCGCGGCTCAGTGGTTGAGTGCCCACCTGTGAATGAGGAGGTCAGGGCACAGGCCCGGGTGGCAGACTCCGTCCCCAGTAGGGGGCATGCAGGAGGCAGCCTACCAACGGTTCTCTCTCATCACTGATGTTTCTCTCTCCCCCTCTCCCTTCCTCTCTGACATCAATAAAAATGATAATAGCACAAGAATAAACGGTTGCACCTCCTCACAAGTGTACACCTATGTGTGCTCCGCCCCGTGCTTTCTGAGGGTCTGATTGTACCCATTTGTTCCTGAGTGAGTCATCAGACGTGGGCTGTGGCCACTGGTTTGGATGCACTTCGGCAGTTCCTCATCTCGGGAACATATGCACCAGGAAGACAGCGCAGCCACTAACTGGCCACGTCGGCGACCTCCTCCTTCCGGGAGAGTCAGACCGTTTGCTTCCTCGTGGAGGGAGGGCCCGTCTCTTGTTGGCTCCGGATCTGCCTGATGGAAAGACTGAGAGGGATGGCTGGGACCGGTTCAGGGGGTTGGCATTCATTCTTTTCTTTTTTTGGTTCCTCTTTTGTTTTGTTCACCCTCACTGGAGGATCCTTTTTCCATTGATTCTTAGAGAGAGGCAGGGGAGAGAGGAGAGAGAGAGAAACGTTGATGTGAGAGAGCCACATCAGTTGGTTGCTTCGCACTCGTGCCCCCACTGGGGTGGGGAACCTGCAACCAGGGTATATGCCCTTGACCGGAATCGAATCCCCGGCCCTTGGGTTCGTGGGCCGACATTTATCAAGGGCCCCGGATGTGCTAGCACTTGGCCCATCATACCTCTTTTCTAGAAGAATCGTTACTGATAGCTTAACCCTTTGCGGTCCAATTTTATTTTTGGAATTCAAGCAGTCTGGTCCAAATTAATTGATGGGATTGAATGTTGAACCGGTTTGCAGTGTCGACCTCAGCCTTGACGTTGGACCTGCTCCTAGCGCCTGGTCTGTCGAGTCAGCCTCGACATTGGACCGAAAAGGGTTAAAGCACCACGCGGAAGCAGAGGGCTTACTTGATAAGAAGTGATTGTCTCACTGGGTTGTGAGCCCCGCGTGGTGGCTGATGCTGTCATTGGTCTTCCATGCTGGAGACACTCGTACCTGCAGGGTATGTGCTGGGACACGCCGGGAGACGTGAGGCGCGTGGGGTTCTTTGGGCCCTGTTTATTTCAGTATTGCTGTGCTGAGTAAAACATTCATTATGGCCCGGCCGGCGTGGCGCAGGGGTCGAGCATTGACCTAGGAACCAGGAGGACACAGTTCGATTCCTGGTCAGGGCATAGGCCCGGGTTGCAGGCTCGATCCCCAGTGTGGGGCGTGCAGGAGGCAGCCGATCCATGGTTCTCCTGCATCATGGATGTGTCCATAACAGTGCCCACGGCTGCTCTAGGCAGTGCGCTCACAGTTTTCTGCTGTGGATGCCCAGCGTTTGCAGAACACGACTTAAGCACTGATGGGGGCTGGGAGGCGGGGCATGCGGGAGCCATCACCACGCAATTCCGAGGACATCAGAAGAAATCTGTGGGCCTGGGAAGACGATCCTGACGTAGGGAAACACTGTACATCACGTGGTTCCTAACTTTACAGTTGCATCAGCTCCTAAGCACTCCCCAGCCATCTGCTGACGGAGTTAGGAGGCCCGCCTGCCTCGCTCAGGAAGGCCGTTAGTTCAGAACCCCACGAGCTGTCTGCATGCCAGCTGCCGGAGCGCTCTGCCTGTCGGTGACCGGGGCGTCGCTGGCTCACTGCGGCCGCAGCATCACGCGTGTTCGGGACGGCGCACCTCGCCGGGAGAGCTGAGCGACGCAGGGCCCCGATGTGCCGAGCTGTGTTTGTTTCTTCCCCACGTGAGAAGGGCCCCTCGGACCCGCGTGTTCTATGTGGATCACCAGAGCGTCCGTGGGCCAACTTCCCGAAGCCAGGCCCCTCCTGTTGGGTGGCAGTTCCGTGAAAACCTGGCCCGTCGCGACCGCCTCGGCGTAGAGGCTGCGCTGCTCGCGGCGGGACCTGGGCTCTGTACCCGAACAGCTGCCTGCGGTCGGTGTGGGGCACGTCCTGGGTCATGCTGCCGCCCTGAGGCCTCGGGACTGAGGGGTCCTTCCAAGCTGCAGCGTCCAGTCTCATTGCACACAAACAGGCCTCGTTGGTTCAGCAATCTCATTCTTTTTATTTTTTAATCTTTATTGTTGAAAGTATTACAGATGTCCCCTTTTTCCCCCACTGACCCCTCCTAGCCTGCCCCGTCCCCTGCCCCAGGCCTTCATCACCGTATTATTTGCACACAAGGTCTTTGGTTGATCGATTTCCACCCACCCACCCTCCCCCGCCTTCCCATGCTTCCATGCCTCTGGATCCCCTCCGTTCAGCCGTTTATTTTGTTCATTAGATTCCATATACGAGTGAGATCATGTGATGCTTGTCTTTCTGACTCAGCATCCTCATTCTTTAGGAAACTGAACCACCCGCCCTGGGCAAGCGTGGTCCCTAGAAAGCTTTCGGCATCTTAACCGAGGAGGGAGGGAGGGATACAAATAGATACACGTGTTAGGATGTGCGTGTGCGTAGATGAGTGGTTCTCTTTATACGCTCTCTGACCTGTGTCATACAAGTCTTACGTGATCTGTGTGTGACCTGTATGTTCCCTGGGTATGTGAGTGCAGACAGGGGCACCTGTTAACTCCCGGATAAATCCATCGGCCGCTCGGTGAAGAGAACTCAGAGGAAGCCTTGCTTATATTCACATCGTTCGTTTGTTGTTCTGTTTGGACTTCGTGAGTGAGTGCCTGTGGGGCTTCTTCATGAACGTGCATAGGTTTTGATATCTTAGCGGTGAGATTCCCAGCCTTTTGTCCTCACGGCGCAAATGACTTTCATTGAAATATTCCTCTTCCATTTCTTGTTCCCCCATTGCTATTCCACAAGGCTTTCTTTCATAAAAATATTACACAATTATATGATTAGGTAATCCTACATAATAAAAGCCTAATATACAAGCCACCAAACGGCGGAACAACCAGTCGCTATGACATGCACTGACCACCAGGGGGGCAGACACTCAATGCAGAAACTGCGCCCAGCTCGCAGGCT